GAATGGCAAGAAGTCCACCCAGCTACTAGAATTCATGTAGCCACACCAAGCAAGCACTATTAGGTGGGTGAAAACTTTTTTCTGATCTTAACACTTTACCTTCTTATATTAAAATATCTACTTAAGTGTTGTTTCCTCTAGATGGAGAGTTTCTTCAAGGCAAGAACTGGGTTTATTTATCTTTATATCCAGAGTACCTAGAATGTAGAAATTATTGGTAAATATTGGTTGAACTGAGGTTGGGGAATGGAAGAGAAAAGTGCACACAGAGCATGATGTCCTGATGTCAGCCTACTGGGCTGATCCTGGAAGAAAGGAAGCAAAAGGGAGCATCTGTGGTTGTCAGTCCATCCCTTCCATCGGTGGTGGCCCCAGAGCAGAGCAGGAACCTGCTCTTCCTTGGCTTTGCCACAAAAATCCCTTGGTCTTGCTGGGTGCTTCACCACCCCCACCCCCATTCCCACTCAACCCCTCCATTGTGTCTGCAGCCCCACCAGTGAGAGATTCTTTTGTACTGACAAGCAGATGTAAGCAGGACTAGGAGAGGGGTAAATCTGGGAGGAAGTAGGAAAGCTGCAGAACACGTGAACCCAGTACTCAGTGCAAGAAAACACTCTGATATAAGGAAAAAGAGATGATGGCTCTATCATTTCTTTACTTTCTTTTCCTTTTTAAAAAATTATAAAGTACTACATATTCATGGAGAAAAAGACAACAGCTATAAAAGCCTTCTGCTTTCCCCCAATTCTATACCCTACAGCAACCACTGTTAACAATTCTTTGAGAAGCCTTCTGGAAATGTTCTATTATACAAAAGCATATATATATAATGTATATGTATTATATATAATATAATATAAATATATTTATATTTAATATATTTGTATTATATATAAATATATAATAAATATAAATATTATATATGAATATATTTAATATATTTAAATTTAATATATTTAAATATATAAAATAAATATATATAAATATACATATAAAAGTCACATATACAAAACATGTGTGTGTATACACACATGCAGATGGACAGATAGAGATAGAATTTCATGGTGCCATGTGATGGAAAAAGAAAATGGTGGCACAAGGACTTAAAGTGGGGGATGGATTTGGAGGCTGACCTGAAGAGGCTGTTGATTCACTAGGCTGAAGCACCTGAAGGGAAGAAACGATGGACTGCAAGGATGTAAGTGGGGGGCAGGGGTGTCTACAAATAATAGAATATTTGCATTGCAAAAATTTTTTTTTGCAGATTAGGAGGTGAAAAATCCAACATCTAGTTGGCCTTGGTTTTTTCTTAACTGAAAAATGAGATAATAATATACATTCCTCACAGGTTTATTGTGAGGATTAAATGGGGATAATATGTTTAAAAGCCATAAAATAATATGTTATGGCCTAGTGGTTAAGATTCAGTGCTCTCACCACCATGGCTCGGGTTCCTTTCTTGGCCAGGAAACCATATCACCCCACTGTCGGTTGTCAAGTTTCAGTGAAGCTTCCAGACTAAGACAGACCAGGAAGAAGGACCTGGCCACCCACTTCCAAAAAAATTGGCCATGAAAACCCGATGAATAGCAGTGGAGCATTGTTTGATAGAGTGCTGGAAGGTGAGAGGATGGCACAAAAAGACTCTGCTGTACACAGAGTCGCTAAGAGCTGGAATCCACTCAATGGCACTAACAAAAAAAATGTGTTTAAAGTGCTTAGTATTGTGCCTAGCATCACGTCCTAAGCTTTATGTAAGTGTGTGCTGTTACTGTTGTTGTTATGGTGGTGGTGGGTCCTGCTGTTGCTGGAGTGCCCAGCACAGCGCCCCACACATAACTGACCCTCTGTCCATCTGCAGCCAGCATAGGGAAAGAACCTCAGGATAGCATCCGAATTCATTTTTTGCCACTGCCCTTGTTCCTCCCTTTTTTATTTCCTTGACTGCTTCTAACTTTTTTTGTGTGTGTGTGTGAGGAAGATCAGCCCTGAGCTAACATCCATGCTAATCCTCCTCTTTTTGCTGGTGAAGACCAGCTCTCAGCTAACATCTATTGCCAATCCTCCTCCTTTTTTTTACCCCAAAGCCCTCAGTAGATAGTTGTTTGTCGTAGTTGCACATCCTTCTAGTTGCTGTATGTGGGACGCGCCCTCAGCATGGCTGGAGAAGCGGTGCGTCCGTGCGCGCCTGGGATCCGAACCCAGGCTGCCAGTAGCGGAGCACGCGCACTTAACCGCTAAGCCACAGGGCCGGCCCTAACTTTTTACTTTATGTTGTGTACCCTTGAAGAAAACTTTCTGGTACCTGGTGGATATAAATCCTTGGAGGTGTGTAGAGATGTTTTAGATCCCAAAGGTCCCTGCCCATTTTCTTATTTCCTCTCCATTGCTTGTCCCCACGGTGTTGGAAACGATTAGGTGAGAATAGGTACTTACTTGCTACTCTTCACACATGCTACCGGAGGGGAGCAATTACAATTGCTCACTAAGAAAAAGACCTAAGAATCATTAGGGCTGCTCCTGTTCACTGTGTGCATCTTCATAGCATTGACCCTGCAGTTCCACTTGAGACATCCTGGCCTCGGGGATCAGTCCTTCTGGGACTGATCTGGGATACTCTATGTATTTCTACTTGTATTTAGAATGGCTGGCTTAAAACTCTCAGCTTTAATATTCTGCATCCTGAATGCTCTTAGTTGTCAGAAAAACTAAGCCTGCCTACTCACTCTTCTATTCTTGATTTATAAATAGGTTCAGCTGCCTAACAATTAAACATACTATATTTTGCACATGCACTTTCCTTAGGAGACATTTAGAGGGTAAATGGCTTTTACTCTTGTGACAGTATCTGGAACTATCTTTGTAACTTTTTTTCCCAAATGGGCGATGAGACTTTTGGTCTGTAAAGCCCAAGATACAATTTCCAACATGCTCAGAAAATCCAGTATCAAATTTCTAGCAGATCTTCATAGGGACAGGCCCAGGACCAGCTTATACGTGTCAGAGAAGGTCTGCTCTGCATGCTTTATATCATACATGGCCACACATGCTAGCGGCTGTGAGAAATACCAGTGACAAAGACAATAAGACACCAGAGAAAAGAAAGATCAGTGGGGTCTGAGGAGGAGATGAAGATGTAGTCTTAGGTATAATTAAGTATTTGATAAGGTTGAAGGAAGGAGAAGGCATTGCATACACCAAAGCCCATGAAAGATCTGCCTCGCAACTCCGAAGGGGACATATGGGGAAAACCACCTTAGGTTAACTGTCACAATTTCCATTCTGGGCAGAACTGGGACTTGAATAATAGTGAGTATTATATAGCACTTTCAGATATGGAATTTCATTTATTTCTCCATATAATGCAATAAGGTAGGTGGATTAAATATCATGACTCTTTTACACACGGAGAAAATGAAGCAGAGAGAATGAGGAGACTTGTCAGTTAGTTTGGGCACTGGAGCTGAGCCTCTGCACGCTGACCTCACTCTGCTTTATGGTATCCAGGACTGCTCCACCTGACGCCAGCGTCGAGGGGAATGAGCTCTGACATCAGAGCAGTCAAAACCCCAGTTCTAGTCCAGACCCCGCGGCTAACCGGGCTTGACCCAGGACCCATCTCTTAAGCTCCCAGCCTGTTTTCTCAGGCATGGTAAATGGAAGGGGTGAGTCTGGACGATCTCCAGAACATAGCCCAGATGCTCGTTGACAGTGGGGTGTAGCCCATTTGGAGGGTAGGGACCGAAAATACTGAGTAGGGTGTGCAGGAGAGGATTGCCTTAGATGGCAGTGAGGGCTGGCAGCACAGAAGGAGAGAAAGGAATCGCCTGAGGGTGGTATACTGGTCTTAAAGGCCATATGACTCCATAGTTTGTAGGTGGTGAGTGTGGAAGAATTCAGGAGGCAATTGGTAAGTTTCCATGTTCAATTAAAAAAAGAAAAAAAAGAAGGTAGGTCTGTCCCTTTCGCATAGCCTAGGGCACAAGAGTCCAACGCTGAGGAATCCGGTCGGACCAGTGGAGGGCTCCACCGAGCGCGTCTCGGAAACCCCCGATGGCCGCACCGCCCCCCAAAGGCTCCTTGAGGGGTGGGCGCTGGTGAACTGTCGAAGACATGTCGCCTGCGTCCCCGCCCGTCCTCCCTGGCCCCAAGTCCGCCGGCCGCCCTCACCTCCGCCCCGCCCTCCCACCTCCACTCCCCGGCCTGGCGGGCCCGGACTCTCCCTCCCTCAATGTTTAACTGATCTGCAGGCGGGGGCGCGGGTGATGCGAATTCCTAGAAGCCTTAAGAGGCTGCCCAGGATTTGAAGTTAGGATCCCCCAACGACCCTTGAGGTTCGTGCTCATGCCACACGACCCCACCCCTCGGGTGACAGAAGAGCCTAGGCGGGGCGTGGGCAGCGAGAACGCCCCACTCACCATCCCCGTCCACCCTGGAGCCCAGTTCCAGCCCAGTCCTGCCAGTCCGGGCTGACCCGGAGGGCATCTTGGACTCGCGGCCATCAGCTGGGTGGGGAGGTGGAGGAGCAGCTGGAGGTGGCGGGGGCAGGTAACGGCAGGCCGGCAGAGGAGGGCGCTGGGCCGGGGCGGAGGCGCAGTTGGTCGGCTTCGGTATCTCTGGGGCACCCGCCCGACCTCCGCCGGCGTAGCCCGGAGTGGGGACAGTGAGTCAGATCCCGGACACCCGCGAGTCGAGCGGGGCC